GAGCTTGGGTTGTGAGCACACAGTACTGAGCCCAGCCCTGTCTTGGAAAACCCAACAAACAAGACAGAAGAGGAGTCCAGGTTTTTTTTTTTTTTTTTTTTTTTTTTTTTGGTTTTTTGAGACAGGGTTTCTCTGTGTAGCTTTGAGCCTTTCCTGGGACTCACTTGGTAGCCCAGGCTGGCCTCGAACTCACAGAGATCCGCCTGGCTCTGCCTCCCGAGTGCTGGGATTAAAGGCGTGCGCCACCACGGCCCGGCGAGCCCAGCTTTTTGAGTGGGTTCAGTGTAACCACCTGTTATCTTCAGAGTGGATGAGGAGGCAGAAGAGAAGGCCAGGGGTGAGTGGGAAGACTCAGCCCCTGGTCCCAGCTAGAGTCACGGTGGGCAATGGGACTCAGCTTCCTCAAGTATCCCAGCCAGGACAACAGAGGGTAAACTGGCTGGGGGCCCTTAGACACTCATGGGGCAGAGGCTTGTGGTTCACTCTGAGGGAACATCACAGTGGGTAGAATATGGCCTAGGCTTGCAGACGAGGGGGAGTGGATATGCTAAGCCAGAAGGACCACTCCCCAGAGCAATTGCTGTGTCTTGTGTCTTCTCCCATTTTCCTACTAATAGTGGCCACTGTTCATCTATTCGTGTGGTTATGTATTTAACTATTCTCTATGACTTACATTTTTGCGCTTATTTCTTCTTTCTTTTGCTTTTAGTTCCTTTGATATATTTTTTTCTGAGTGTTTTTAAGCAGATTTACATTCATTATATATAATATGTTTTGCGTGTGTGTGTGTGTGTGTGTGTGTGTGTGTGTGTGTGTGTGTACTATGTGCATGCAGTGTCCGCAGAGGCCAGAAGAGGGCATCAGATCCCTGAGACTGGAGTTACAGATGGTTGTGAGCCACCCTGTACCTGTTTCCTCTGTAAGGACAGTCAGTGCTTTTAACTGCTGAGCCATCTCTCCAAGCCCCTCTAGGTGTTTCAAGCAGAATTTTATATTTATTTTTCAATTTTTTTACTTGTATGAATATGTGAAACTATGTATCCTTCTCTGATGAACTTTTAAAATATATCCCATACCTTCTGAAATAGTGTCATTATCATTAATTTTCAAAAGTTCTGAGAAGCAATTCTCAAAGATTTACTTAGTTTCATTTATGCATATGTGGGTGTGCCTGTATGAGTTTATGCACACCATGTGTGTGAAGGAAGTGGAGCTGCCTGATATGGGTACTGGGAATCGAACCAAGGTTCTCTGGAAGAGCAGTAAGCATTCTTAACCACTGAGCCATCTCTCCTGCCCCTGAAAAGCATTTTAATAACATATTTTTAAATTTTTCCATATGAAGTAAAAAAATCAATTCCCCCCCAAGCTGTCATTAATTTCTGGTTTTATTCCATCATTACTAGAGAGTGCTTATAGTATTCCCATGCTAGGGAGTGGCCTATGCTCTTCTGAGACATACTAATCTAATTTTCTGTGACTGTCCCTGTGCCCTTGAGTAGATAGTACATTCTCTTTCCAGGATCAAGGGTATCCTCTTCTGTCAATGGTACATACATCTCAGTAAGACTTACCTTGCTGATTGCTTGAGGGATACAGACCCCCCCAGCACTGGGAGTGGGGGAGGGAAGGACAGACAGCCACCTCGACCTATGAACTGAGTTCCAGGCTGGCCTAGGATCCACAGCAAAACCCCATTTCACATCCAACCTTCCAAGACAGATTCAGTTTGCTGATTGAACAGTATGACTCTTCTCTGCCCATTTTTGTTTTTGTCTTTCTAGGATATTATGTAAACCTTTTCTCATATTAATCTATTTCTCCTTGTGCCTCCTGTAGTTTTTGTCTTATAGAGGTGGTGGCTGTATTACTTGGTACATAGATACTCAAGATAGGTAGGGGTTTGTTGTTGTTGTTGTTTTTGGTTTTTCAAGACAGGGTTTCTCTGTATAGCCTTAACTGTCCTAGAACTCACTCTATAGACCAGGCTGGCCTCGAACTCACAGAGATCCACCTGCCTCTGCCTCCTGAGTTCTGGGATTAAAGATGTGCACCACTGCCACCCAGTTTAGGGGGCTGTATCATCTTAAGTTCTCTTTTATCACTTAAGCATGTCCTTCTTTGGCAAGTCAACAGATGTCACCCCGCCTCCTTGCTGTTTGGAATTGCTTGGCATTCCTTCACATTCTCCTTTGGGAAGCCTTGGGTGTCATTTGTACGACACACAGAACTGGGTCTTGCTTTATGAGGCAGGTGGAAAATTATTCCTTTAATTGTTGAATTAAGTCCCTTGTGCATCTTTTTTTTAAAGATTTATTTATTTATTATTTATTATTGTGTATACAGTGTTCTGCCTGCATGTATGCCTTCATGCTAGAAGAGGGCACCAGATCTCATTATCGATGGTTGCTGAGCCACCATGTGGTTGCTGGGAATTGAACTCAAGACCTCTGGAAGAGCAACCAGTGCTCTGAGCCATCTTTCTAGCCTCGTCTTTGTGCATATTAATATAACTGCTGTAGTTCATTTCAGATCGATAATATTTTGTTAAATATTACTATGTGTGTTGACCTGTATTTTACAGTTTTCCTGAATAGTCTGTTTTCTTTGTCTTTTTATTTAAAATTTTTCTTTTGACGTTGAGGAAGACTTGAATTTTTACTCTATTGGTTATATTTGTACTTGTTTGTTTTTGATTTCCTGGTGTCTACTTAGTTTTCACCCACAGGTTCTTCTGTTTAACAAACTCCTCTGACTTCTACTTCCTGCCTGGGTGGTGAGCCACACGCCCTTCAGACAGGTTAGTGACATCAGAGGAATTCATGTTGTCAGCAGCCTGAGACAAGCTGTAGGATAAGACAAGTGACTGCAAATTGCTGTCGTTATTCTTAATAGTTTCCTTATTGGATCTGAAGTCCCTGGTAATCGTGACCTGAGAAGAAGCAGGAGTAAATAAAAGCAAAAGAGAAGCGTGTTAAATTGATACTAAGTAACAGAAGTAAGTAGTTAAATGTGTGGTTTTAATTGGATAGCCACACGTACAAGAATGAAACCAGATTCTTATTTCTCACCTTGCACAAAAATAAACCTAAATTGTTCAAAAGCCTTAATGTAAGGGCTGAAACTCTTATAGGAAGAACACTTCAAGATGCAGGCATAGGTAAGGACTCCACTTGCTCATGAAATGAAGCCAACTATCGATAAATTGGATCTCGTGAAATTAAAAAGCTGGGCCCCATACAGAGTGGGAGAAAAATCTTTGCTGGCCATATGTTTGCAAAGTGTTAGTACCTGTAACATACAAAGAACCAAAACCAAAAACTGAAAACTAAACAAGATACCAAACAACCCAATCAATAAATGAGCTAATGAATTGAGGAGACAGTTTTCAAGAGATAGACTAGCAGGATAAATAAAGACCACGTCCCTCTGAATTTAGGCAGCTGGGGTTTCCTGTACAAGCTCAAGCCAGCCAATATCCAGCAGGGTTAGGGGAGAGGTTTGTGAGCCCCACCCCTAGCTGAGAACCCATTGGCAAGTGATGGCTGCTGGGGGAGGGAGAGTCTGTTTCCTTTAGATGACCTGGTAGGTAGGCCATGCTCAGTGGAAGGCCTCATACCAGTGTGTATATGGGCAGCAATAATTTCCCTCCGTAGGCTATACAAACAACAACAAAAAAAAAAAAACAGCCAACCAAACAACAACAACAACAACAAAACCCTAAAAACTGAAAAGATAGACATGAAGTTAAGCCGATATGGGGCGATCCAGGAGGAGCTGAGGGTGGGGGAGAGAATGACCGAAGTGTATTGTGTACATGTATGAAACTCTCAAAGAAGAAATTAAAATATGATATTTTTAAAAAAGATAGTAGCGATGAAAAAGAGCTTCTGTGGTGTAATTGTTTCATCCTGTGGGCACACAGGAGTTAACTCTGTAGCGCATGTCCACGTGTGCTCACCATTGCTGGGGTGAGACTGCCCCTTTAGATTAATAGAACTGGCACTGCTGTGGAGTGGAGGCCATGCGTCTATTCCCAGAGTCTCATGCCGAACTTCCCCTGGGCCTCGGGGAGAGTTGCTCTACCCCCTGGGCCTCAATTTCTTCATGTGTAAAATTAGAAGGAAGTAGAGTGTGTAATCACAGAGTTTCTAGCACTTACGTCCTCTGTCTGAAGACCTTGCTATGATGTTCCTAGAGGTACCTTGATATTGATGTGAGTCCTGGTACGTACCCCTGGTCAGCAGTTCCAGCCCCACTTAGTCGCTGAGCTTCTGGATGGTAACCATGCAAAGAGAAAGGGCAGAGGGGTGTTTTCTCCCCTACTCCCCCGCCACCCCCAAGGAACTAATGCCAATCCGGTTTTGTGTGAAAGTGGACATGTGAGGGCCTTGAGCACATATATAATAAACATATAGAGGTTAGAGGACAACCCTGGTGATAGTCCTCAGGCACAGCTCCCACTTCTGTTTGAGACAGGGTCTCCCATTGGCCTGGAACTCTGTCGAGTAGATCAGTGTAGCCAGGCGTGGACTTGCAGAGATCAATCTGTTTCCACCTCCTGAGATCTTGTTGTCACTAGATTCCAGGCACAAGGCACCACGCTTTGCTTTTAAACTTGGATTCTGAGATCCGAACACGAACCCCTTTTTGCAAGCTGACTTTGCTGAGTCATTTCCAAGCTTCTTGAGTTTCTTGTTTGTTTTTGTTTTTTACATCATTTGTTTGTTTGTTGTGTGTGGCAGGGGTGATGCATGAGCCATGGTGTGGGTGTGGAGGTCAGATGACACCTTGGGTGGGTCCTGGAGATAAACCCAGGTCACCAGACTTGGCGACAGCTACTGTTATCTGCAGAGCCATCTTGCCAGCCCTTAGCTCGAGTTTTAAGAACCATATTTTGTCTTCTGTGTAAGATATTTTCTTTGAGAAAATTTTGTTTATATATCATTAAAAGTAAGATTCATGAGACTATTTCTTTATTTGCTTTTCCCTTCTGGCAGTTCTATGAGTTTCTTCAAACAAGTCAAAGCGACTCTGACCAGAGATACTTCAAGTGACAAGAAGATGTGTTATGCTAGACCTCATTGTGACCAGTCAGGTGGAAATAGAATGATGAGTGGAAATGATGGAAACAAAGGGAGCTGTGAACCGACAAGCTGGTGTCAGCACCAGGAGATGAATGTACAGTTTACAGGAAGAGCCGCGTTTGAGTCTTGGCTCATCGGTGAATAGGTGTGTGGCTGTGGTTCTGTTAAGCCATCATTCTGAGCATTGGTTTTCCCTATCCATAAAATGAAGACAATATGCTTTATTTTGTAGAGTTGTATGATTTAGAGATTATAATACTGGTTGTTACAATTTTCTAATTATTCAAGGAAGGAGCTGTTGCGTTCAATGCAAAAATTATTGTCATCTTTCAGCTGCTTGCTCTGCCTCCTGGTACTGAGCGTTGTGGACCAACATCACCTGAGACTGCAACAGACCTTTTCCTTCCACTGAGGTATGACATGCACCCCAGCAGAGCAGCTTCCACCTACTGCCCAGTTTGATGACAGACTTTAGATGTTATACATTTGCACCCCCATGGCTAAATTCCCCTCGTTGCCTCAAAATTTCCCAAGGACATGGCATCTAGACTCACTGCCATTTCAGATGTCAACATGGTGACAGCCATTGTGGTCGTAGGTTGGAGCTATGGTCCAAAAGTGATCTGATCAGCCCAGAAAAACTAGGCTGTTCCTTCTCTAGATTCTTCCATGGGACTGGAGTGTCGTTAGCTTCGTTAGCAGCCTCATCACATCTTGGTTTATCTTGGATTTGCATTTCTCTAGAATGAAAACCACCACTATTTTCTTTATTTTTATTTTTTTTTTAATTCCCAAGACCTCACCAATATTTTCAAGTAAACTTTTTTTCAGAGCCAGGCCCTTGGTGTTCACCCTATATATGAATATTTGTGTGTGTGCCATATTAATATCTATACTTATTAGTGATATATATGTTTACACACACATATATATATATTTCTAAACTTGTTTATAACTACATTCATGTGTTAGATTTCTGAAACTGTGACAAAAAACTCTTAAGATAATCATCATACAAGGAAGAAAGGTTTCTTTTGGCCCATGATTTCATAGGCTTCATCCCATGATCATCTGGGCCCATTGCCTTTGGGCCTGTGGTATGTAAGGCAGAATACCATGGTAGCAGCACATAGCAGAGAAAGCTAATCACTTCATAGTGAAACAGAATAGAAGGGGTCTGGGGTCCCACAGCCCAGCTAAGGTCACATATTCAGTAACCTTTCTTCCATGAAACCCTGCCTCCTAAGTGTTCTACTACCTCTCAATGTCAACATAGGCTGGAGACCAAGCATTTGATACATAGGCTTTTGGGGGCTATCCAAACTTTAGCAGTTTGATTATGTGAAGAGTCTCCCCAATACTAAGCCTGATATTACATACCTAACATCTCTTGATAGGATGCTATGAGTGCGCACTGGCTTTTTGCCACACTCAAAAGAGAGCGAGATTAACTTCATGCAGATTTTTACAGCTAACACATTCAGATACACTACTTCTACCAGAGTTGGTGAGCAGGGAACTGTAGCGGCCATTGGGGCACTGTTTCTCTGGGTCCCAGTGACTATGCCTGTCCAGGGACTGGTTGGCCTAGATTATATCATCTGTGTTTCCCAGCCCTAAGATTTTTGCCAAGACTAAACTTCTACTTTCCTTTTCTGGGGCCATGCTTACTCTTCCGTTCACTCCCAGCACCTCACTTTCATCCCCGGGACTGTCAACCCCCCTCCTTGAGATTCCCATTCTGGACCTGTCATACCCACTGTCACTCCTACTCAGCAGCATGTGATACTCAGACCCTCTGGGTCTTGTCAATCACTGGTCACACATGTTAGCCACACTGGCCTGCAGATCCTTAGTCACTGGAAGAGTCCAGAACACTGCTGTCTCCAAAACCATTTTAAAGATGGATTTCCAAATGTCACCCACAGTACAAATAAGATGAACAGTAGCCGCACATGACCCTGAAGCAAGTCTTTAACCTCCCTGGCTATCTGTAGCCAGCAGGGTCAGGCATAAGGGGACTGTGATGGTTAGTTTTAATGTTCAACTTGGCACAATCTAGTATCTCCTAGGAAGGGGGTTCCCAAGGAGGGATCACCTACATTGGGTTGACCTATGAAGGATTTTTCTTAGTTGGGTTAATTGAGTTGGGAAAACCCACCTTGAATGTGGACAACACCCATTATGGGCTGGGCCCTGAAAACTGTATGCGTTTTTTTTTTTTTTTTTTTTTTTTTTTTTTTTTTTTTTTTTTGTGTGTGTGTGTGTGTGTGTGTGTTTTGTTTCCATGAGTGTGTGAGTCTGAGTGTGTGTTTATCCTCTCTGCTCTTGGCTGGGGATGTGATGTGACTGGCTGCTGGGCACTCCTATCTTGACTACCCTGCCACGATAGATTGTAACCAGGAATTGTAAGCCAAATAAACACTCTTTTCCCTGCTGTGGGATGTTCTGTGTGGCAAATGTGTTGCTCTGATTGGTTGGTAAATAAAACACTGATTGGCCAGTAGTCAGGCAGGAGGAATTGTGGGCGGGACAAGGAGGAGAATAAAGCTGGGAAGTGGAAGGCTGAGTCAGAGACACTGCCAGCCGCCACGATGACAAACAGCATGTGAAGATGCCGGTAAGCCACAAGCCATGTGGCAAGGTATAGATTTATAGAAATGGATTAATTTAAGCTGTAAGAACAGTTAGCAAGAAGCCTGCCACAGTCATACAGTTTGTAAGTAATATAAGTCTCTGTGTTTACTTGGTTGGGTCTGAGCGGCTGTGGGACTGGCAGGTGATAGAGATTTGTCCTGACTGTGGGCCGGGCAGGAAAACTGTAGCTACATTTCCCTAAATTGATTTTGGGGCTGTGAGTGGGGTCAGGGTGATTTTAATCACAGAAACAGAAGTAGAACTGAAGTATGACCTTGTGAGCTCCTGGACAGGGTGGAATGGGGCACACTGAACAACTTGCCCACACCTCACATCATGTTTTGTCTCTACAAGTTCAACCTTATGGTAGCTCCTGGGCTACCTCCCTTCCTTTGCTCAACTTCTCAATGTGGTAAAACCAATGTGTAATTTTTGTTTGTTATTTGTTTTTATGAGACAGGGTCTTGCTATGCAGCCCAGATTAATCTTAAATCCCTGATCCTCTTGTCTCAGCATCCTGAGTGCTGGGATTAAAGGTATGTGCCACTATCCCTGGCTATAAAAATTGTCTTTTCTTACAAATTGTACATGTAACACATGTACACCATATTTGCAAGAAAAATAATTCTATTCATGACAAGGGATTCCCTCCTAAATTATGCCCTGGTCTACAGAACATAAAGAGAGAAGCTGGATCAACCCCAACATTCTCTGGGCAAAAGCTCCTTGTTGGCATTGGATGATTTTCCTTCTCTTTGCAGCAGATGGGATGAATAGATAACGCCTCCTTTTCCTAAGTGTGAGGCACACTTCCCTGACAGTGTGCCCTTTCCAGATAGTGTTGTGTATCTACAACAAGAAAACTATGCAAGTTAAAACTCCAAAAGATTTCCCCTTTTTGTTCAGACATTGTGCTTTCTTGTTGAAAAATATTTCTAGTCAAGACTAGAGGGAAGTTTGTCTTGCTGTTCCCCTATAAAGTAAACATATTATGATTAGATATCGACTTTACACCTGAACTTCTACCCTGAAGGAAGAGTTACCAAGTCCTGAGCCCAGTGTAGTGGTATATACCCATCAAACTGGCACTCGGGAGCTGAGGTAGGAGGATTTCTAGTTCAAGGCCAGACTGGGCTATAGAGAAAGTTCTAGAGGCCATCTCAAAAAAAGAAGGGGAAAAAGGCCAGGTGTAATGTCACACCTATTACCCCAGTAGTTGGGAGGCTGAGACAGGAGGATGCTGTAAATTTCAGGCTAGCCTGGGCTATCTAGAGCCTGACTTTAATTTAGAGAGAAGAAGAAGAAGAAGAAGAAGAAGAAGAAGAAGAAGAAGAAGAAGAAGAAGAAGAAGAAGAAGAAGAAGAAGAAGAAGAAGAAGAAGAAGAAGAGCTGGCTGGAGAGATGTCTCTAAAAGTACTTTTGCAGAGGATATAGGTTCAGTTCCCAGCATGCATGGTGGCTCACAACCATCCATAACTTCAGTTTCAGGGATCTGGTGTCCTTTTCTAACCTCCCCATGTCCTAGGCATCCACATGATGCACATATATATGTGCAAGCAGAGCACTCATATATATAATAAAGATAAATAAATCTAAGTCAGGTATAGGATCCCAGTTTGTGTCAGTGGAAGGAATGGCCGGGTACAGATGGGTTTTATAGGACTTATGAATTAGTTACTTTTCTTGTTGCCATGACAAAATACCTGACAAAAATAATCTGAAGAAAGAGAAGTTTGTTTAGGTTCAAAGTTTGAGAGTATAGTCCACTGCAGTGGTAAAGGCATGGTGGCAGGAGTGGGAAGCAACTGGTCACATTGTATCCACAGTCAAGAATAAAAAGATGGATTGCCTAACTTTATCCTTTTTATTCAGTCTGGGACCCCAGCCCATGGAATAATGCCAATAACATTTAAGATGGATCTTCCCACCTCAGATAAGCCAATCTAGAAACTTCCTCACAGGCATATGCAGAGCTGTGTCTCCTCAGTGATTCTAGATCTTGTCTAGTGACCAATTTTAATCATCACAACTAGCTATTCATAAGGAGTAGGAGAATGAAACTCCTCCCCAGATATCTGTTTCCTAGAGTCTTTGGCTTTATGTCACGTTGTAATAAAAAGAATGAAAGTGCCACTGGCCTAGATATGACAGCATTACTAAATTTGTCAGGTCCTAAAATAACAGTGAGAGTCTAAGATCCTTAGCTCAAGTCATTTGAAACCAAGTCTCCTGATTCTAAACCCAAAATTCTGGTATGCTAGTCTTGGAAGCCACTGGGAACACACAGAGGCTCACTGAGGGAAGTCTATTTACCCCTGGTCAAAAGAATGAAATCTACCTCTGGCCCTGGATGGAGGCAGGACATTTTCTCTGTTCCAAAGATTAGAGCATTATATTCCATTGTCCCTTCCCTTAAACGTTAATCCAGCTGGGCCTGTCAATCACTTGGTCAATAAGTGACTCACCAAAAAGGATGCTTCTCATCAAGCCGTGCTGAGGGGATGGGTGGAATAATTATCCCTTCTCTCAGTGCACACGCTTGTAGAACTCGCCTCATGAAGCACTGCTTTCTTTTTTCTTCTGTCTCTTTCCCAAAGGCTAAGCATGCTTTCTCTGTTGCACTGGACTTTCTCAGAAGCTCCCTCCCCTTTCTGTTGTGGCTGCTATAAACATGGCTTTCTCTTCCTTTTCCTATCTCTCTTCCATGAAGCTTCCAAGGTTTACAACTTACCCGTCCTGTTTTTCTTCTCTTAAACTGTAATGAAACAGTCCTTGAGCTTCTTTCCTGGTCCCTTTCTGAATTATTTTATTAATGAGACTAATAACCCAAAAGAAAAGAAAATTCACCAGTCACATATGGCACCCAACATAGACCTCCTCAAAGTTCCTGGTAACAGTTCCTTCTGTTTCACCTCAAGGGCTGGTTTTCTCTCAGCTGAAATGAAGATAGACGCAGAAGGGGCTTCCAGTAGGGCTTTCATTGAGCTCACAACTCTTCCCTTGCTTGGGAAGTCCAGCTTCCAAGGTCCTGGGGAAGGAGGAATGGAGGCCATGTCTGCTAGAAATGTCAGTGGTAGTCATTGTGAATGATATGGTTTCTTGCTTCAGAGAGAATAGAGTTCTTTTATGGAGGTCTGTTCTCTAGGACTAGCGACTACTGAGAACACTTATTTCACCTGCTATTTTGGGAGCTCAAAAAATGATACTCCAAAGGCATGCTGAGTGCTTTGAAATAGAGGTTGGATGACTCCCTAAGCAGCCACAGAACCATCTCTCTGACCTTCTCCCACCCTGCTGTCCCTCACCCTCATTTTTCCCCTAGGCGAGGCATCCTCTTTGCTGAAGCAGGTCAGAGAACTGGAATCCTTATCCCCAAAGCAAGCCTCAAAGTCTTAAAGTATTCTAAAGGTTCCCTGCCTTCCTTTTGCTCTGACTTAGACAGGGACAAATGACTAAGGACAGGCACAAATGACTGAGTCTTAAGAGGGTTGACCCTAGTGTCCTATTTAACAGCAATGAGAATAGACCACAAAATACAACAAAACCCACATCAAGAGTTTATTGGTAGGGAGTGAAGAAGGGGTGTGTGTTCAGGACTGCCTTGAAAGAGACGTGATGAAAGAGAGAGCGAGGAACAGTGGGATCTTCCTTTTAAAGGGGGTCTCAGCGTGTGTGTACAAAGGCTTGCATAGCCACTCAGTCCATGCACATAGGTTACACAGTGACATATGGCCATAAGACCCTGGGCTGAAAATGAATGTGAAGCCATAGAACCCTGGGTGCTGGCTAGACATTTGCCTGAAATGCTAACATTTCTTCCTTTTGTTTTTTATACAAAAGTGAGGAGTTAAGGGTGGCAGGTGGGCGGGAAATGAGGGTGCCAGGTTCTTGAAAATACTTCCTGCTGACTTGGTGTGTGTTGGTCATCTTTGGGGGGCTTGAGAAAGTTGAGGTGTTGTCCACGTCCTCCTGGGGTAGCTGACTGTTTCACTTCACTGTCCACGCTCTGTGGAGCTGTCCGGCACCACCCAGACCTGTCAAGATGCTGTTCAGGTGGATCCAAGTCAACTCCCTGGAGCTTACAAGAATTTTTAAGTTTACAAAAGAGATGTTTTAGACATATTAAAAGCAACCAAAGGGAATTTAAAATCCTGAGTGGCTATGATAACATGGTATAGAGTGTAGTGTTTAGTACTCTGCTAGAGCTATATTAATAGCTTATCAGAGTTCTATTGGTTAGTGTTAAAGTTATAAACAGTCATATAGCGAGCAAGAGAGGGAGGAATCTGGAACATGTTTTATTGTAGCCATAAATTTCTTAGGTCCTGCCTGGCCCCCCCATGGTCCAGACAAATCTCACTCACCCACAGTCCCACAGCCACTAGGTCCCAAGTAAACACACAGAGGCTTATATTATTTATAAACTGAATGGTCTATGGCAGGCCTCTTGCTAGCTAGCTCTTATATCTTAAATTAACCCATTTCTATTAATCTATGTTTTACCACATGTTCCATGGCTTGCCAGTCTCCTGGCATGTTGTTCCTTCAGCGGCAGAGTGGTGTCTTTCTAGACTCCACCTTTCTCTTTCCTTTCTCTCT